AGTAGGATAAACCAGAGAAGATCGCTTTTTAAATAGTTTAAATGGCACTTGTTATAAAAATCCTAGACCTCAATGTATGTATGTACAAGGTCTAACAATTAAGTCCACAAACTTGTTGCAATGATGTTGCTAACCTTTTTTGATATCAGAGGGATTATTCATTATGAATTTGTACCAACTTGACAGTTAACCTACTTTACTATCTGGAAGTGCTGAAAAGGCTGCTTGAAAAAGTTAGACAATCTTGAAAAAGTTAGACAATCTGAGCTTTTTGCCAATTCATGGCTCTTGCATCTCAGCAATGCACCAGCTCACACAGCACTGTGAGGGAGTTTTCAGCCAGTAAACAAAAAACTGTATTGGAACACCCTCCTTACACACCTGATCTGGTTCCCAATTACTTCTTTCTTTACTTGAAGATAAAGGAAATACTGAACAGAAGACATTTTGATGACATTCAGGGCATCAAGGGTAATGTGACAACAGCTCCGATGGCCATTCCAGAAAAAGGGTTCCAAAATTGCTCTAAAGGGTGGACTAGACACTGGCAATGGTGCATAGCTTCCCAAGGGGAGTACTTCGATGGTGACTGCAGTGATATTCAGCAATGAGGTACGCAGCTTTTTCTAGGATGAGTTCGCGAACTTGTCAGGCCGTGCACATGCACGCGAACTCTCATATATACATACATATATACAGTTCAGAATATAAAGGGCATTGGGGCCAGCCGAGTGGCTCCGCTGGTTAAGAGCGCAAGCTCAGAGCAACAGGGTCACCAGTTCAATTCCCACACGGGCCAGTGAGTGGCGCTTGAGCTGAGCTGCTGAGTTGCCAACAGGTGGCAGGATGGCTCAGCTGGTGAGAACACCTGCTTGGTGGGCTACGCCCACCCACAGGTAAAGACTGAACTCAGACCTTGAGCTCAGCGGCCGCAAGCTGCCGACAGGTAGCCAGATGGCGACTGGACTTGGAGCTGAGCTAGCTGCGCCCTCCACAACTAAGACTGAAGGACAACAACTTGGCTGTTTCCCTTCCCCAATTCCCCAACACTGTTCCCCTTCACCAATTTCCCAAAATCTTTAAAAAATAAAATAATAATAATATAAAGGGCACTATGAATTGTTTTTAATGGAGATGAGTTACATATTTTTTAATCAAGTCTTTCTTATAAAAAAATTAAAATGCAATTTGGGAGGGAAAAGGACAACACAAAATTGAAATGTTAAGACTGTAGAATATCCAACAAATTCTTGTAGGGCTCTATTGGATTTCTTAGAGAACTACTTGGACACCAGTATAACCCATGGCTTCAGCCAGGCTCCTAAAATTTTTCATCTTTGGTATGTTGTAAATGACAAAAAAAGGCCTGCAAAAGTTGTTTTACATTATAAGCAGAAGGGCCGGCCAAATGGCTCAGTTGGTTAAGAGCTCACTCAAGAGTGTGAGCTCTGAGCAATTAGCGGTTCGATGCCCAGCTGGAGCTGAGCTGCCACTGAGTTGCCAACAGGTGGTAGGATGGCTCAGCTAAAAAAAAAAAAAATTATAAGCAGAAAAAAAACTGGAAACATGGTAATCAATAAATTATGGTACAACTATACTATAGCATACCATAGTTATATTAGTTGTATGTACAGATATGGAAGAACATCCTTGAAGTTAAAATATATAGAGATATGTTGATCCAATTTTTTAGTTTTTGTATTAGTTTCAGGTTTATATACACGCACGCACACACGTAAAATCTCCACGCAAATGAAGATCTAGAAGTAGACAATCTCTGGGCACGAGAAGGAAACAGGAGGAGCAATTTTCTTTTCAACTTCACAATATGCCTTTTAAATATAAGCAAAAAGATCCCTATTTTTTTATTAGGTAAACCTGTAGTTAATATTCAAGAGATAACAGGATCTTCTCATAGAATTATCCTAACATAAATGAAATGCATGCGAAGTACTTCACAGCACAAGGTACAGAACATTAAGTGGTACCTTCCTTTCTTTACTGTTTTTCATCACAGTATTTGATATATACGGACATCATATGGAAAAAGTGGCAAATTTTCTCCAGTAAAACTACTGAAGATAACAAAAGGGGACATTAATATAATGGTACTCGTAAGTTATTGACTACTTTATCATGTGTAACCTAGCTTTGAAATTTTCCAGTAAAAGTTTTAGTTGAATTTACCCCAAGGCTTTAAAAAAGCCACCAATGAGTATGTACCTTTCTATGTATACTGAGAATTGAAAAATACTTATACCAGAAAACTGCTCTCATTATTTTGCATATATAACTCTGAGGTAACCATGTCATGAACTAAGTGTATATTTGACCAGCAAAAACATTATCTCCAAGGATAATAATCACTACATTGTTTATAGCAGCAAGAAACAGAAAAAAACTCACCTTCATCAAGAGGCAATGTTTTATGATACAGCTATACTAAGGATTATACAGACATTAAAAACAATGAAGGTATATGTCTTGATAATGTGAAACTGTTAATATATATATAAACTACAAAACTATGTAATCTATTTAAATTAAGCGCATACAAAAAAGAGCTAACTATACCTATTAAAAAATAAGATTATCCTTGAAAAGGGGGTTTGCTCATATAAGTAGGATTTTTACTTACTTTTTATTTGGTTTAAAAGCAATTAATTCTAATAACACCAGCCCCGGGGCCAGCCAAGTGGTGCATTGGTTAGGAGTTGGCTTGGGACACCAGCTCTGAACCAGCAGGCCCCAGGTTCAGATCCCACAAGGGCCAGTGATGCTGCGCCCACTACAGGTAAGATTGTGAACAACAGCTCCACCTGGAGCTGGGCTACTGTGAGTCACCAGAGACAGCATAGGCTGCAGTGGGACTGGCCAACAGCGGGTCGTGAGCTTTCGTGAGCCGCTGTCCAATGACCGGCGAGCGACTGCCTCACCCAGGAAGAGCGCAAAACCAACATGGGCCAGAGAAGCGACATCCTCCACAACCAGACGGAAGAACAAAAGGACACAGCAACTTGTCTGTTCCCCTTACCCAGTAAAATCTTAAAAAAAAAAAAAATACACCAGTCCCAACAGTAAGATTTCTGCATTTTCTATTTCCTAGTAATATTGGTATTTTCTGACTTGAAGTACAATTCAAATGTTATGTGCAAGACTAATTTTAAGTAACATACAGCAGAAAAGTATGTTTCTTAGGCTTTATCTATTCTTCCAAGGGACTTTTTATTGGAAAAAAAATTTTTACAATGTATATTCACTTTTAATAGAAAGCATGAGACAAAGGCACATCAAAAAATAACCTGCAATAAGACACTAGGAGAAAGCACTGTACTCCCTTGGTTTACAGGCAGTCTTTATTGCCTTTTCAGAAAACAAAATAGGGCATTCTGAAAGGGAATAGAAGGGATTTTTCCCAGTGATCAGAATCTTACACTGACGCAATTGGTTAAAATGGAAGAGACTTACCCTAAGTGAAAATGTTGTCTTTTTGGATAAAACCCATATTGTCCAGATGCAGTTCTGCTCAAATCAATCCAATATCCAAACACCCACTTTCAACCAGCAAATTTAACATTAAATGTGCATTCTCAAACTTGAGAAAATTAAGCACTTAAAAGGTAAATAACCTACAAATTTAAGTAACTTAACACTCACTCCTGGTCTTGAGAGTAATAATCATAAATAACAAATTCTCAAGTATCCTCAATCCTTTAACCTCACTTAAAAACAAATATTCATAGTGAAATAGATTTAAATATGAAACCTATGTTCCAAATCACTGTTATAGGAGCAATCAGTGTATCACTCTGATTCGATAGTTATCGGAACATCAACTATTTGCAAGCTTTATAACATCTGAAATTTATATTCAATCTTGAAAGACCTTTCAAACCAGTTTTAACTGATTACCACTTTTATATTAAAAATACTGTCAATGCAGAAGTTCACAATAGGGAGACAAAAAAATAGGTTCACTTTTATTTTGCTAATCTTCCAAATTAGATTTAAGCAGGGGGCAAATTGTATTCAATACTGACTAGATTGTATACAACCTCCATGAATTCTTTAATTTCAATAATGTTCAGATAATTCTCATAGGTGACAAAAATCCAACTGGTTGCCAAAACAAGTCCCACATACCAAAAATGCTTGCATAAAAACTGACAAGAGGAGTTCTGTGGAGTAAATACCACTATGTGTTTGCATTCACTAAATACCAGTCCAAATTACAAATTTGTGAATACATGACAATGAAATGTTACTATACCTTGAACAGAACACTAAGTCACTTTTCTAATTAAGAGGAAACGTTTTTACATAATTCATTTAACTTCTTAGAAGTCTATGTTGGGAATACAAAATGACAACTTTATCAACTGGACTATTACAACTGACCCAGAAGAGCTAGATCTTCCCACTAAAACTGAGCAAAAGGCAAAACAATGACAATTATAAAAATTTAAGCATACCATTTTTCTGTATCCCAAAGGGCCTCCAAATTACCAAATAAAAAAGCCCACATGTAGTATGTTCCACTGAGTGAAAAATAAAACATTAAGGAAACTGTAGAGCCATTTGAGAGCAAAAGATTTGACTATGTTTATTCAACGTGCAAAAACATCTATCCCATTTGTCAGAGGTGTACTTAGATATTTGTACCAAGCATCAGTTATCCTTTGTCCTAGTGACTGAGCAGCCATAATCTAGCCTATCCATCTTGACCTTATTTCCTCCTATCTCTTGAAGGTAGGGCCCTGAAAGTTGGGGGGAAAAAAATTGGGGGCAAGAATTAGATCTTAATAAACATATGACAAGAACTAAGAGAAAAAGGGTCAGTGTTAAAATATTCTTTAAAAGTCCAATGATTTCTTCAGAAAGTTTCTTAGTATGGCTTTCAAGTGTAAGATTTAAGTCAAATAATTTTACGGTAACATTAAATGTATTAGATTAATAGGTACTATGAACCCATCCACCAGATTATACATACTCTCACTCAATCATGTAAAGAATTGAATTCTTTATTTGTGATATCCATAAACGTTGCTATTCTGTATTTCTAACCAGGAAGTCAATTTTCTCCTATATCATTTTTGTTTTTTTATAAACAACTTGAAATCTATTGCATGAAAGGGCTACAACTATACATTTAACCAAGCAGAATACACAGATATTTTGCTTTACAACTTGCACCTAAGATACCAGTACACGTAGCTGGTTCATTAGTTGTCATAGCAATTTGGGGCCATTGCCCAAGCTATGCATAGCAATTTACATTTTCAATTCTCATATAGAAAGAGCAATTGTAATACGGACTGTTAATTATATTCCTATAAAGCCCACCTTAGTTACAAGTAAATGTGTAACCAAAGTCTGCACAGATTTTTGATGGCAAACCTTCTAATCTGATGAAATTGTCCTAAACAAGTTTTAAACAAATTGTTTTGCACATATACTGCCATTCTGCCAGTAGATGGTGCTGCAAAGGTTGGGAAAAGGATTTCCATGAGGACAGTTCAGCTATAGGGAAAAAAACATTTAAACCTGCTCTGAAAATACAAAAATGCATTTAGTTTGAGGATAAAATATAACCCTTATTTGTAACGATTCATTACAGACAAACCAATAAGAGGGATGAAACTAGGCCATCTGAAAGTTTTTAAACAGTTTATATGAATGAAAATACATGCTTAACACAAACTATTTCTTTAGAACTATACAGTACATACTTAGAAGTAAATTCTCATAGAAAGAAGTGACTAATCATATGATAAGCAAATCGCTTAGTACAAGAGATGGATGCACAGAAACTTTGAAGATTTTAAAAAGCCACATCCACCATTTCAAAAGTTTTGCCTGTAAAGGGATAAAAATTCAACGTCACTAGCAGGGCAACAGAAAAGAAAACCACAGGACCTTTTAAAAGTTTCTCTAAGTACACATCAAAAATTAAGAATTAACACGAAAATTTTTCAACTAATATCCCTTAAAACGGTACGGAATGGATCCTAGAAAAAAGATGTTAGACATGTACGGTCAAACACAATGATTTATTAAAAATAAAACGTAAAAATGATTTTTGTACATATGCTTCCAAATTTCAGGCATGGGATCCAAGTAGATTTCATAGAAAACGCTGTAGCCAGGTATCAAGTCCTTACAACAAAGTAAACTACCCCCCACCCCAACCCCCGCCCAGGTTTTGCTACAGAATCAGCAAGTTCATTCCCTCCCCCCAAAAAAAACACAAATTAAAACAAGACGTTTTGCTAGTATAAAAACGACCAAAGTCCAAGTAATAATAAAAAAATAGAGTCCATCAATGACTGTAACACAAAAATGTGTATGTGGGGCCGAGTCCATCTTCAGAGGGAGAGAGACAAGAGAGGTGGCAGGCAAACAGGGCAACACCCCCAAGGGTAAGCAGCCTTACAAGCGGCTCCCCCAAGGGCAAAATGGGGAAGGCAGTGGAAGGGGAAGGGACTCAGGAGTTGACCCTAGTTGGGTTGTTGAAAAGAGCTACCCCTATAGCCACTCCCGGGCATTAAAAAAAAATTTTTTTTTAAAAGGAACTGCCTCCATAACCACCCCCACCGCCATAACCGCCTCTGTAAGGTCCACTGTTACTACGACCGCCCCAGCTGCTGCCGCCTCCGCCGCCGCCGCCGCCGCTCTTCATGGGCCCATAGGACGACTGGTGCTGGCTATAGCTGCCGAAACCGCCGAAGCCGTTACCGTAGTCGCTCCCACCGTAGGACGAGCCGCCTCCGCCGCCTCCGTAGGCATTGTAGCCGCCGCCGCCGCCGCCACCGCCGTAACCACCGTAGCTGTTGTAGCCGCCGCCGCCTTTAGACAGGCCGTTCTGGTCACGACCGCCGCCGCGACCCCGACCGCCTCGGCCGCCCCGGGAGGACCGGGAACCTCCTCCACCCCCACCGGCGTGGATATCCTCTTTAGGAACCGCCTTCTTCACCTCCACGCGATGGCCCTGGATCGGATGGAACTTGACCACCGCGGCCTTGTCTGCCGCGTCGTGATTCTGAAAATACACGAAGCCGAAGCCACGCTTCTTGCCGGACTGCTTGTCGGCAATAATCTCGGCCTTTTCCACGGTGCCAAACTGCGAGAAGTGCTCGATCAGGTCGCCCTCGGCCACGTCTCCCTTAAGACCCCCGACAAAGAGCTTCTTAACCTTGGCGTGGGCACCGGGCCGCGCCGAATCCTCCCGGGACACCGCCCGTTTCAGCTCCACCGTGTTGCCGTCCACGGCGTGGGGCGAGGCGGCCATGGCGGCATCGGCCTCCTCCACATTGGAGTAGGTCACGAAGCCAAAGCAACGGGAGCGCTTGGTCTGGGGGTTCACCACCACCACGCAGTCCGTCAGAGTCCCAAAGGCCTCAAAGTGGCCGCGCAGGCCCGACTCACTCGTCTGCACATTGAGGCCGCCGATGAACAGCTTACACAACTGGGAATTCTCCATCTCTACGGCCCGGGCCTTCCCTCCGCCTTGTGTGCTCCGAGGTTTCGCCGTCGCCGTTATCGTTGGCTAAGGCCTCTTCACAGCTTGGGCCCAGCCGTTGCTGGAGCCGCTACTGCCGCTCACCGACGGGGAAGGGAAAAGGGGAAGGGAGGAAAGGAGGAAAAAAGGAAGGGGGAGGGAAGGGGAGAGGTGCCGGCTAGAGGGCGAGCCGAGGAGATTGGAAGACAACCAAGGCCGCCGCCACAGCCGCCGCCACCTCCGCTCCCCTATCTGGGCACCACACAAAGAGGCCGCTGAACGCGCGCGCACCCTCCCCGAGGCGTGCGTCACCGCCGACGTACGGCAGCCCAGGGCTGCCCGCCAATCGCCGCTTCGCTCTCTTTAGTCCCGCCTTCCGCGCCGCAGCGCCGCTCTCGGTCAGGGCCTCCCCGCCCTCCGCGGCCTATTCAAGCCTCGGCCTGCTCTGCTCCTGCCGCCGTCTCTACCGCCCCGCTTTAACTCCCGGGCTCTCCAGTATGCCGTGACTAGGCAATCTCCCTGCCCTCTATACACCTCCGTGACTCATTTCCTCCCTGCACCGCGGCTGTTCCCAGTGATTTTCCCCCTCCCCTTGCCGTATCCCCTCGCCCAACTCCGCAGTGGCGTTCGCGCCAGCCCCTTGAGAGACATGTCAGTTCAGCCAATCACTGCGACCCACTCGCACCCACTTCCGTTTTCCGCAGCTGCCGGGCGCGCTCCCCGGAGCGCGCTGGCCCAGGCGCACCTTGTGTGGAGCCTGCCTACCACCCCCGGGCGTCCTCCCGCCCTGATCTTGGGGTGGGGGTGGGGATAAGCGGGGACGCGCGGGGGGCCGTTCCCAACGGATGCGGCCTGGGGCGCCACGCGCGGGCTTTTTGAAAACTTGACTGTTGGGGTTGGGGGTCTGGATTTACCCGCCGCGTTTCGAACGGGCCGCAACACCTGGCGTCCTCGCCCCTCCCGTCCACACAAAGATGGAGGGTAGAGGCCTAGTCAGGGATGGCGGTTATTAGCCGTTTACAGTGGGCCCAAGACGCGGTTAAGCTAAAACACTGGCACGTGGCCCTGCGCAAAATCGAGCCAGAGGCAATGTGAAGGTCAGCAGTGCGCCAAAAGCGCTTCAGGCCTTATGACCGAGGCCATCCTTTGGCCACACGTGAAGCCCGCCCGCGACGCCCCTCTCAACCTCCCTTCGCCCACTCCGACAGAAGGCATTTTCATTTTAGCTCAGTGAACACATCATTTTATGTTTAGTTTACATATCTGTGCGTTGCTTCCTTCCCAACTAAAACGTTAGCTTTTTTAAAGCACTGGATACCACATGAACATTATATACAAATACCACGCACCCGTTAACTGCCTTACAGACCGTCCCTCAGGTGGGAACGCAAGAAAATTAAAATGACTCCCATTGAAACTTTGTGCCAAGCAAGACACAAAGTGGGACACAGGATGAGACATAACGTGACCAAGAGGCCCCAAAACAATCAAGAAGAAGAGCTCTTGATTGTATCCTGGAGCATTCAGGAGTGATTTGTGAAAGAGGTGGAAGTTTCACTGAATTTCAGAGTCAAAAGCTAGATAAGAGTTCTATAGAGTTTATCTGAACAAAAGCCCGAAGAAACAAAGCTACATAAGCTTCAAAGGGGCAGTCAGTGGACCAGTTTGGTGCAGGAAGCTTTTGATAGACGATAGTAAGGACGATAGTACGAGGTAAGATTAGTTGAGGGTCTTTGATACTATGGAATGTCTTCAATTTTAGATTAAGTTTCAATATTATTCCAAAGGTAGGCTACAAGATTTATAGACCAGAGTCTGGCTCTACCACCTACTCACTGTGTGACTTTGGGCAAGTCATGTAACATTTTTTAAAACTTAACCACCTTTATTATCTGAATATCAAAACAATAAAACACCTCCCAGGTGTTGTAAAAATTCAATGATAGTCTGCATGTAAATACAGAATACAGGGCCTAGCACATAGTAAGTGCTCAGTTTTTCCAACAAATACTATACCAGGTGCCAAGAATAGGGCAGTAAACAATAGACAAAAATCTCTGCCATCATGGAGCCTACATTCTAGTGAGGAGAAGCAGACAAGAAATAAGATTGATATGTAGCATGTTAGTGATAAGTACCATTGGTGGGGGGAAAAGGGAAGACAATAGGAAGTTATTACCTTGTTGCAAAAAAACAAGTCATGTAAGGTAGGATTTGCTAACTGATGATGATAAAGAATGAGGGAAATAAAAGCATTTCAGTGATTGAAGTCTGGAAGCCTAAAATTGCAGCAATGGTAGAACTAGAAAATCTAAGTAACTATTTTAGAGGGAGTTGGGGAAATGATGAACATAGTTGTTAATATTTAAGGTGACACTGGTATTCATGGGACCCTGTTTTCCAGGATGCCCAAAGACAATTGCTCAGATGAGAGATTAGACCTTAAGAAATATATTTTAGAGTCATCCAAAAACTGTTAAAACAGTAAAAGATGAATCTCTGAAGGAAAGAGAATAAGACCATAGTTTATTTTCCCATCTAAACTATAAATTCTAAAGTAACAGTTTTCTCCTACGTTGTTTTAAAATAATCCTCCATGGGCCGGCCAAGTGGCTCAGTTGGTTAAGAGCTCGCTCAAGAGTTTGAGCTCTGAGCAACAGCGGTTCGAGTCCAGCCCGAGCTGAGCAGCCNCTGAGCTGCCAACAGGTAGCAGGATGGCTCAGCTAAAAATAAAATAAAATAAAATAAATAAAAAAAATAAAATAATCCTCCATATCATCAAATTGGGAATCCATTATGGGTTTAATTTCTTTTGACTAGGAAAGCTTCATAGAGGCATATGTTTGGTATAAGCCTTACATATAGAAGGGGGATAGGGATGATGGGAGACAACACAAGCATGTTTGAGAGACATTCAGGAAGCCAGGATAAATGCAAGATAATTGGAAGTTAGACTCTTTTGAAGAGATTAGATTGATAAAGATAGGGACACTGAATAAGGCATTGTTAATGTAAACAAATGATGCAGTCAATTTCCTACCTCTCAGATCATTCAGGGAGACAAGCTTTTTTTCTCTACCTTGTAGATAATTGCCTGAGTTTGTATCTTAGCTTTACCTTGCTTACAGGTGTGTCAGCCTTCCAAAACAAAAAAGTTTTTTTTAATATAACTGAATTTTAGACAACCTTTGGTTTCCATCCCTCCTGCAAGCTTGATTACAAAAACCTCACTGAATGTGGTGGTTAAACATAGATAACTACGCTAAAAAGGGTGTATTTTATAGTACCTAAATTATACCTAGAAAAAGAGAAAACTGCAGAAATGGGAAAAGAATAAACTGAAGAAGAAAGGGAAAACTATGGCCAGCTATATTTCCAGGAAGCAGCAACTTTGATTTTTTTTTAAACTAAACTTTTTATAACACCCAAGAATGTCTTTTTGCAGTTAGGGTTCTGTTATGGACTGAATTGTGTCTCCCCCAACCCCAAAAATCATATGTTGAAGCCCTGGCCCCCAGCACTAATGAATGTAACTATAATTGAAGAGGTGATTAATTTAAAATGAGAATATTAGGGTGTGGCCTTAATCCAATAGGACTGGTGTCCTTATAAGAAGAGGATGAAACACCAGTGGCACATGTGCACAGAGGGATGACCATGTGAAGAGACAGCAAGAGGGTGGCCATTTGCAAACCAAGGAGAGAGGTCTCAGAAGAAACCAACCCTGCTGGCACCTTGATCTTGGACCCCGAGACTCCAGAACTCAGAAAATAAATTTCTGTTGTTTAAGCCACCCAGTCTGTGGTACTTTGTTATGGCAGTCCTAGCAATCTAACATATCCACCTAGAAGTGTTTTCAGTGTCCATGTTCGGGGTATCAGACCTCACTCATTTGTACATGTAAAGCTGCCTATACACATCTTGCCTGGATTTCTCTCGGCAAGATTATACCAGATGTAGTGATTTTCCTATAAATTCCATAATAAGGTTACAGAATTATATTCCTTAAAATTAAATAAATTATTTAACTTTTGGTTTTGAATTTTATTATTTTATTTATATTACCCAGGCATTTATATTTTAGTGCATCGTTTTTACTTAGTCCAGTAAGAACTTCAAATTTTTTTGAATATTTATTTCCTTCAACAAATTTTATACTTAGTATTTTCCTCTCCATGAGGCATGTGCCAGATCAATGTGAAAATCAAGTTTTTAATCTTACCTATTAAGTCCACTTTCAACTTTAGTTTCAGCTGTAGTATAGCTAGGTATGTGGATAACAACTTATAAAGCTTCTCTTCCTAACTTATACAGAAAAGGAAAATAATTTGCATTGATTGAGATCAAATTTCCATCAACCTAAAGAGTGGCAACTCAGAGTGAGATTTCATTTGTGACGTGTTCTATACTTACACCTGTGAGTGAAGCAACATCCATGCTACCACATACATTTTGAGTCCTTAGGAATCTGATCCTTCCTCATTTCCAAGTACACACTGAACAGAGCAAAGAACAGGTTAGTCTACTCAGTAAGCTACAAGAGTAGTATTTAGTTGTAGTTGTTCAGGGAGTTCAGATTATGTATAAAGCCTTTCTGGATCATTCAGGATCTAACCATTTTACTTTTTTTTTTATTTTTATTGGGGAACAGTGTGATTTTCCAGGACCCATAAACTCCAAGTAGTTGTTTCAATCTAGTTGTGGAGGGCATAGCTCAGCGGCCCATGTGGGAATTGAACCGGCAACCTTGGTATTGTGAGCACTGTGCTCGACTCAACTGAGCTAACCAGCCGCCCCAGGATCTAACCATTTTTAGTTAAATGATATTTATCATAATTTCAGCACATTATTAGAAAAAGAGAAAGAAAATTACACACATCTTTTTTTCCACTAAAACTGGGAGGAAAACAATGGAAAAAATAAAAATTAGCCAAGATTTGTGTGAGCAACAGTATAATCATGATAAGCAGCTATGAAACCAAAAATCATATGCTCTTTAAGGAACCTATTCCATAAGATAATCACTGGCTGAAATCTCTCAGTATACAGCAGTGATTTATTTGGGTTGGTTTGTGCACACCCTAATTTACCTGAAATCTATTTTACTTTGCTGCCCAGGATTCTAAATATGGTCTATTTTTCACCTTCTGAAATAATATATGAAGCACTTTTCATTCATCAGTATCAATTAAAGGGGTTTCTTTCAAGGATTAAATTGTATATAATTCAGTTCAAATTCTAATAATTTGCTAATTCCCATCATTGGTTCTGGAGGATTTATTTTTCACCAAGCTCTGATATGATTATCTACTGCATCCAAAATATATACTAATATATTTTCTAAGTTTCATCACAAGGTTTTGAGCATGGTTTTGTAAAATCACAGCATTGACCTTACCGGCACATTCAAAAGTTCCACCAAAAATAAGCCCCATTATATCTAAGCATTTACTATAGATAAGGCAGTTTAAAAGAACTTTCTTACCCTACATTCTAGAATCAGGAATCGAGCATAGAGAGACCCATTATTTGTCATCCATTCCAAAACTTCCATGTGACAGAT